AAAAACCGTTCGAGTGCAAATTTTGTCCTTGGAAATTTAATCAATCATCAGCCTTGGCGCGGCATATGAAAAAGCATTCGAAAGGGTACATATTTATTTCACTTCTATTAAACTTATGTAAATCATACATCTGATAATTTCCATTATTCTAATGATACGCAGCAAAAATGTCGAATTGGGATTCAAAGCGGCAGACCAAGTATTAAAGCACTCTGCATTAATGAATATTTTGGGAACACCAGAGGTGGTGGTAGCCGCCGGAGCAACTGACGGCGTAAGCGCAGTCTCAACATAGCGCAACAAACTAGTTATAATGTTCTAAGCAATATAGCCAATTTGGGTGGCTTGCACTGTATGAACACAGAGTGCAATCTAGAAAATACATCAACGGACACGGAAAGTAGTGACACAAGCACACAATAGTAGCGTTTTTACAAAGAATGACATACTCGATTTCTGTACAAATCAGCAAGTTTGTTAGGATGTACATATTTTCAAACTGGCGATGTTATTTTTGCTTAATATACTGATCGTAGAGCTGTAAGAGCTCGGGATTCGTGCGCGGTTGCACGGCATTTAATGCGTACTCGAAATGCGTTCATCGTACACGCTCAGCTTCAAAACTCTACTCCAGACATTTCAATGCCGCCTCCTGACATACGGCCTGTATTTCGGCACCTGAATATCCTTCAGTACGTTGCACAAGCTTTTGCAAATCTACATCAGCTGCCAATGGCATTGGCAATAATTTTATGCGAAAGATTTCTTGACGTGCCTCGGTATCGGGCAGTCCAACATAGACAATACGATCGAAACGTCCCGGGCGCAACAGTGCTTTGTCAATCATATCTGGTCGATTAGTTGCTGCTACAATAGTGACATTTTCCAAAGCCTCAACACCGTCCATTTCAGTGAGCAGTTGAGTGAGCACACGTTCTTTAACCGACGTTCCCGAACCGCCATCGCCACCATCAGCTCGCTCGCCACCAATGGCATCGATTTCGTCGAAGAACGCAATGGCCGGCGCTACTTGACGCGCCTTGCGAAAGACTTCGCGTACTGCACGCTCCGATTCGCCCACCCACATCGAGAATAATTCGGGCCCTTTTATGGAGAGAAAATTCAGTTGACTTTCGGTGGCAAGCGCCTTGGCGATCATTGTTTTGGAACAGCCTGGCGGACCGAACATTAGAATACCTCGAGGCGGTTTCAAACCGAGCCGTTCAAACTTATCTGGATGCAGTAGTGGCCATTCTATAGCCTGTTTGAGCTTCAGTTTCAATTCGGCCTGTCCACCGATGTCACTCCAATGCACATTCGGGTTTTCTATGAGCACCTCACGCATAGCCGATGGTTTAATAAGTGTCAGTGCGGCATGCAAGTCTTGCAAATGCAGAGGTCGTGCATCATCTTTTAGCGCACGTAACGAAGCGGCGTACACAAGATTGGCCAAATCAGCACCAACATAACCATGCAGCACTTGAGCCACATCATCAATGTCGGCAGGTGAGAGTTTATGTGTAATGCTACGGAGAAGACAGCTTAGTATGGCAGCGCGTTGCTTAGGCGTCGGTGCGCTGATTTCAATCTCGCTATCCAAACGACCACAGCGGCGTACATTTGGATTCAGTGCGTCGATTTGAGATGTTGTAGCTAACAAGAAGATGCGTTGTGCTTCCTTTTTCGGTCCGTTTAGGATGTCCAGCGCGCTTAGAAAGGCCGCTCCCACACGTTTGGTCATTTCATTTGTCTCATACTTTGGACAAAGATTGTGCACGTCCTCTATGACGATAAGAGTGGGGGTCGGGTAGTTTTCGAATGCCTTCTCGAAATGAGACATTAGATTTTTTTCCGTTTCGCCGAGGAATTTGCTAAATAATTCGCTGGTGTTAATCCGAATCAGCTCGACTTTGGTTAATTTAGCAGTCTTCTCCTGCATTGTTGAGCACATGACTTGGCAGAGTAAGCTCTTGCCGTAACCAGTGGGGCCATGTAAAAGAAAACCACGCGAAACTTTCACACCTGTAGGGACAAGAATAAAAAACGTTTTAAATAAAAACACAACCATATCTAATTTGTTACAACATTTTTAGCTACGTAAATAACGTAAATCAGTAAGTAAATAACCTGCAGGTACAACATTTAGTCCAAAAGCCATATCTATCGCTTCCTCTATCATTTCAATTTGTTCATCTAGTCCGCCAACATCAATTTTAGTTACTTTATTATAATTTGTTGAATTTTCTTCCGCACTCTCCGTTTTGTGCCGTTCAATTTCAAGTCGCGTAGCACAGGATACTTCAAAAAA